CCGTTCATCTGTCCGTTGAACATCCGAATCAAAGCATCTCGTCATACCCCGATGCGGCAAACCGCATAGCAGGAAAAGAGGGTGTCCCATGCCACTGTGAAGCGATTGGGTGTTGAATCAGCTGTCAAGTTGGGGCCCAGTCAGAACATGTTTCACAAAAAAAATAACGTGGCTATCCGGGTTCATAAACATGTCTTAATCTAAACGTCACTCGTAGGTGTTGTGTAAGTGGTGTGCGCTTTCACCAGCGGTCCATTTGTATTGAAATGATTTTGATTTTTTTTTGCTCATTCTTCTTAAACTCCAGATTTGGGCCCCATCTCCAAAAGCGGCTACTTATATAAAAGGATACAAAGTGCAAATATATATTTTGACAGTCATTTATGACCACTACAATATACGCGACAATAAGAACTAGAACAGAATAAAAATAGGGACGAAAAGGACAATCATAATCATGTCGTCGATGTAGCCAAATGTGTATGTGAATGGGTGGAGGGGGATATGTCGACGATGGCGGTTTGCATGAGAGCTGTAAACCAACCGAAAAGAAAAGGCAGGCAATATAAAAAGCGTTATAAATAAAGCGACAAGGTAAGGTATCATTCGAGAATAGAAAATTCGAAGGCAAAGCGTTTTCTGTGTCGTTGATATTGTCTCACAGAGCACGCTGTTCGGGGTGTCGACAAAGGTGAGGAAGCCGTGCCGACGAAGGGCGACAAACCTTCACAAGAAGCAAACCCCAAAATATGCAACAAAAAAAAACGAGAGTGAAAAATGTACAAATGATGGCGGGCTGAAAATGAGGACTTTTTTGGAAGGCAAGTGGCCACGGAAAAAAAGACAGCACGTAGAAATGATCCCCGACAAAGGATACGATGCGGTCTCATCTGTCGTTCCTTTTTTCGCAACGTATAGTAAATACGTGAGCGGCATCTCCTCTAATAAGAACAATTCGGGGACAGAAAGACGGTAAAAGCGAGCGCCACAAGCAACGGCGAGAATGGCCCTGTCTGTTTGCATTGTGTATTGCGGACAGGACACGGGCTATGCGCGGGTCGGGTATTCGGTGCCGAGATTCGAGAAGGATGAAAAAAGGGTGGGGAAGCGTGGCGGAAGGAAATTGGAGTCGGGGAGTAGAAAGGTAGATGGAGGCACTGCAGCCATCTTGTCGTGCTGCTTCCATGAAGAAAAGTTCGCTTTTTTGTGTTGTTGACGCTCCAAAGATCATAGTATGAGCTGCTTCAGATTTCGCTGAATAATCATGTCCTGGACAGAGCCCATGGTGATCTTGAGCAGATTGGTATCGGTGGCGTTGGTAAAGTGCCCGTAGATTTCCTTTTCCGGGTTGCGGTTGAGGGCACGGAACTTGTCCATGAAGTATTTGCTGACTTGCTTGGGGTCGGCGGCAGGGCCAGAGTAGTCGGTGAAGCCGTGCTCCGCGATGGGGCTGTTGGGCAGCTTCTCCTTGAACAGATCCATCTTGTTGAGGAAGAGAATGAGAGACGACTTGGTGAACCAGTGCGAGTTGGCGATCGACTCCCACAGCATGAGCGCTTCGCTCATCTGGTTCCCATCCTTGTCCTCGACAAGGCACTGGTCGTAGCCAGAAATGGCGACCAGGAAGAGCAGGCAGTTGACGTTCTCAAAGCAGTGGATCCACTTCTTGCGCTCCGAGCGCTGGCCGCCAACGTCGAACATGCGGTAGGTCAGCTGGCCAAGGTCAAAGACGGTCTCGGTGATGCCCGTTGTCCGCAAGCGCGAGCGCAGCAGATCTTGGTCGTTTGGTACGTAGGTGCGGTCCCAGATGCGGTCAAGGTCCTCGCAGAAGCTGCTCATGTCAGAAAAGCACGAAAAGCACGAAAAGCACAGGGAAACACACAAACACACAAACACAGGTGACAGACGACATCGGGCAGCTCAAACTTACTAGTCCAGGTTGTCGTGCAGAGCAAACTCGTTGCCTTTTGCAATGGCGCGGCGGACGCCATCGTCCTTCCACAGCGTCTTGATGGGCTCGAGATAGTCGGTGGGTAACGGGTCGTTGGCGCCCAGCTCGAACTCGACGAGAATTTGCTTAATATTCTTTTCGTTCTCCGGGTCGGAGAAGCTAATGTCCAGTTCGGCCATGGCGTCGTAGATGAGGCGGAAGGACTGGACAATGTTGTTGAAAACGACAGGCTTCCACTCGAGCCTCTCGTTCTTGCTGAAGCCCTTGGCGTATATGAGCTTCATCTGCTTCAGGACAGTGGACTTGCCGGATTCGCCGGCGCCGAGCAGCAGAAGCTTGACCTCGCGCGACATGCGCTTCTCGTCGGCGCGGATGGCCTTGTCCAGCTCTCGTGACCGGGCGACATCCTCGTCGGCTTTGCTGCGGCCGCCAAAACACATGGTGGCTGCTGTCGAAGCGGTTGTGTGGAGGTGGATGACGCTGTGATTTGAAGCGGGAGAAGGGAGAGAAAGGGAGAAAAGCCTCGACACGAAGCTCGAGAAGGCGCAGCTCGTTCTGCGAATTCCTCTCTCAACTCCAATCGCGAGTATCGGAAAGCTCGGAGTGAGGGCGTACGAACGGTGCGTCGATGAGAAAATGTAAAATACACAACCTCAGACGACGAAAATTAAGCAAAGACAAAACATATGCGTGTGTCTCGAATCCAAAGTGCCAGAAAGGCCCCCCGGAAAAAGCCCCCGGCGTAAACTCCGGTGTCAGGGGATTAGTACGCCGAACCGACAAAAGGCGTCACTAGTGAAGTCCACGCGCGATGCGTTCAGCAGGGGTGGCAAACGACGGCGTATGAGCGAGCTGGGTGGAGGAGCTGAGCATCAAAGAAAGGAAACAGATCGCCGCGAGGGCTGAAGAAGGTTTGTCGCCTATCGCAAAGAGGAAGTGTCCGGCGTCGTTTAGTATGCCAAGGTCGTTAAGGAGTTGGCCGGTCTTATGTCTTAGGGTCCGCCGTCTCGTATCGTGTCGCGTTTCGGCAGTGGTGATCGTGGCTCAGCGGGCAGGCACTTGTGGCCTGAAGAAAAAGGAGAGAGGCTGGAGAATAAAAGGGAGAGGATATAAGGGAAGAAAAAAAGGAGAGTCGTATGTAAGAAAAAGAAAGGAACAAAAGGGCCCAGAGAAGTGAGCGAAGAAAGGAGAGCGGTGCAGAAAACGAAGACAACAGAACAACAGCAATCGACGATCTTGTTTCTCTCCCCGGTCTGGTTTGTGCAGCGGAGAAAGGAAGAAGAAGGGGGAAAAGGTCAAAGTGCCGCGGAAAGAGTGCGAGATGGGAGAAAATAAAACAAGACACAAAAATTGAGAAGTCGAAATCAAGAGGGCAACTCACGGAGGTGAGAGCATGCTTTCGCAGAAGGAGCAACCCAGACGAGATCGTCGCAATGATTGACCCGCGGGTACGGGGGATGGAATTGATGAAAGGGTCGTCTGTTTTAGGCTAGAAGGTGCAGCAGTACGGAGCCAAACACAGAAAGAGCTGACGACTTGTTCGGCGTCTTGGTTTTGCGCAGCGGGAAGGCGCAACGGGCGATGGCGATGGCGCAGAATGGGCCAGGAAAAGGGTAGCAGCATTCGACACTAACCCAGCAAGCTAGTGGAAAGATGGGCTAGGTGAGAGTGCGTGTGGAACCCCCTTGTCTAGCTTACATCGTCGAGGAGCTACTGTAGGAGAACGAAAGGGATAACGCCAGAGACTTTTATTGCATGGAACATGGGCTGACAGGGCAGAGAAAGGGGAGCGGGAACGGGGGACAAGAGTGGGTAATGTGCGTGACGGGCCCTGAAAGAAAGGAAAGAACGGAGCTTGTGTGCTACGAGGAGTGCGAGTTAGGGCGGCACAAATGGCAGGAGCGAGGACAAAGGAGGATGCGACTGGGCAAGGGAAGGAAGCAGCCGGCGATATGGGAGGCGCCTGCCTGACTGGTTTGGTTTGTCAGTTTGAAAATGGAAAGTACTGAAGTAATTCCAGCACAAAACCTGCAGTCTTAAAACCCAACGTACCTTCACAAGTGTTATGAAAATGTGCATACGGCATCAAAAAATCAAGCATAAGCAGGCGATACCTCATATTGAGTTCATCGTGCGTCGGAGTGCGCAGGAGATTCGGGACTACGGCATACTCATATGATGGAAGGAGCAGTCGAATGCTGTTCTCCACCGCACGAAATAGGGGTTTCTGAAGAAGGACGTTGCAGTAGCGTACTCGTGGTCCGACAATGAAGAAGGAGCGACGGAGACCAAAGTACCCACAGTGAGAAACGAGGAAGCACACAAACGGTGAATTGCCCGTTGACGATAACACCACCTACAGGGATGCATCATGCGTAGAGGAAAAGGCGAACAGGGACAACTCATGATAGCAAAGGGACCGGGACTGCTGGGACAACTGTTACAGATCCATAGGACCTTGCCTTGCTGGCCCATGATCAGGCCGGTTTGGGGGCCCAGAACCGGTTCTGGAATAGAGGCAGACCGGAGTTGCATAAGGGCAGTGGCCACGGCGAGTGGTAACGGTTAAAGCCAGCAGACTGTGTACAGTGTCAATGGGGGGTCCATGAAGAGTCTGCCAGTAGGCAATTGGTGTTGGCAGACTTATGTTGTATGTCGTTGATATCGCGAAGCAAAGGAAAGTGACCATACATGTTGTACTTCGTACGGAGGTCATCGTACGACAACCACGGTTTGAGAAGCCACCATTGCTTTACAGAGGCGCAGTGGAGATCAGACGAAGCGGACCGGAAGAAAAGAAGACGCAGGGATGCCACGAGGCAGAGTTGAGGGCGAGAATAATACAGCATGCTAATATAAGATATATTGGGATATGGAAATGAACATCCAATTTCAGAGGATTTAGAGGATTCAGAGGAATAGCCACTCGAGATACCAGAGTTTCGCCATGAAATCAGACAAAAGTGTCCAGATACTCTCTGTTACTTCCGATTATTTATTGCCTTGTTTTCCAAATCACCAATAGCATAGAGCATTCCGTAGACACAAAATGCAGAAACTACTCCAAACTGTCTGTGTGTTGCGTGTTACGAACTGGTTAGCCTGTCAAGTTCATGGGCCCTGCGTCCTTGAAAAGAGGTTTTGCGCTGTTGCTACCAGAGTGGAGGAGGGGAAACCTGACAAGTCGTCTGCCACCGCTATAGAGGTATCCAGTCAGGCGTGTCTGAGCGAGAATAGTGAGGCCACGACGATCAAAGAGCCAAACCAAATGGGCACAGGTGTGGTCAAAGTGGAATAGCGGTACGCACGAACACGGGAAACGGGAACGAAAAGCTTGGACGGCCCCGACTCATGCCACTCCTTTTTTCCCATCTGAAAAGGCTGGATCAAACCCAAGGCTGCGATATTCTGGTTCTAGGCGCACCTCCAGCGTCCCTCCAAATAAACAAAGAGTCGGGGACTGTGGAAATGACCCGGCGTTTACTATTTTTGGTTTCTTTTACTCTGATTGTCTGGTTTTAGTATTTTTCTGTATTTATATATATTGGCATCCTGAGGGTGGACTAGCAACGGAGGGCTGCAAAGAAGAGACATGTCGAAGTTGTGAGTCCCGCTAGCTTGTAAAGGGCAGTATTTAACGGACAATAGCAAGAAACTAACAGAAATGGAATGCATGTTTATTAGTGCTGTGCTGTTGCTGTCTTTTTCTTTCTCCTTTGGGCCGTGGGTAAACTTTCCAATTCAGACCTCTCATTCGAAGACGCCTCGTCCAGGATCCCCGCGTCTGTCGAAGTGTGCACCGGTCAAGCAAGACAGGATTAGCAGACCCCCGCGTCCAGCCATAGCGGTCACAGAAGAGGGGAAGGGACCTCTTTTCCAACTCCCTGCATCCTAGCACGACACACGAGCCCTCTCTATCTGCTTGTTTCTTTTTTTTGTCTGTGCTCGTGCGATATGACATATAAGCAATGAGAATATGTCAGGTTGACTCAGGTGACTTGACGTGTAGTTTGGACAACAAAAAGAAGTAGCCAATAAAGCATATAATTTTGGAACAAAAAATAACAAACTACAAAATACACTCAAAACACTCCTCGAAGGCCTCGCCCATATCCACCGCAAAAGAGAAAACAACTTAAAACAGCCAGCCTCCTATCTCACGAGCAGGGGAAAAACATAGGCAATTTCCACTGTAGTTGCTGTGGACCTTTGGGTGGATGACATGCTACAATTTCCTTCCACCACGTGCGACCTGTCAAACTTTGCATTGCAGTTGTGGGGTTTTCGCACAACTTGACAGTCAAACAGAGCACTTTCTCCTCAGGGCCATGGCCTTCAATACAGATGTAAGACAAACACGATCAGCTGTATAACACAAAGTAGGCTGTGTGTTCTCAAAACAAATCATTCTCGACCAGTTTTGCAATATGCGGCCTGTGTCAATTGCTAGAATCTTTCATTTTAGTTTCTGACAGACAGGTGGTCCAACAAATCGACAGAACAGAGTTGTTTAAAACGTACGTCGTACTTTGCTTATTTTGTCACATCCCACTTTTCTGTGCACATCATTCTCCGTGCAAGCACAGAGCTTTCCGGTCCGGCTGCACCATCCTTTTGTTCCCTGTTCCGCTGATGGCCATTCCATGGTTCATTCATATGCAGTCATCGGGGGTTCGAAACAACAGAGCGTCACCAAAATGGTGCTTTCCTCGCTGCAGAGCACTGGCCTCTATCCCGTCTCCACTATCGAACGGACGGTATTCAGAAAAGGAGGTGCAACCTCTCAACGTGAATAAATACACATGCCAAAAAAAACAGTCTTTACCTAAAATGTACGAAGAATTAATCCATAGTCTGTACATACCCGTTACATACCCGTGCACAAGCTTCATTCGAAGCAGTCGGTGCACGAGAGCGAGACCTCGGTCAAGAACAAAATGCCAGTTCTCAGCATTTGCAAAGGTTGGGAACGAACAGCAGATCCCTGCCCGAAAATAAAACTATCTCAAATTCATGGATTACTCTGCATACGTATTCCACTGCTTGCGAAATTTACGGAGAGCGATACGCATGCAACGTCACAGGGGACTTAGAAATGAGATACAAAAAAAGAAAGAAAAAATAAAAGAAAGAGAAAAGAAAACACAAAGGGGAGAGGATAAAAAGAATAAACAAGAAACGTTATCCTGGTTCTCCGGCTCGAGTAGCATTTAAATATTCCGTACTCCCGTACGACATACATCAACCTCAATCACTCGTTTATGGATAGTAAAGTACTCCGTACATCGTAAGCCTCGCCCCCTTTCTGTGTAAAAAAGCTACTAGACAGAAACCATAAAGACGGTTGTCAAAAACAATGGACACTGGAACCTCCCGATGCACTGCTACTCCACGTTGCTCCATATTAGCCGTTGCATTCTGCCTATCCGTGCTAGTCGAGTGGCGTCCCCAGTAAAAACGTGAAACGCAATACGCGATGATCAGCATCGCCATTACGTCGACGTGTCTCGCGATGAAAAAGCCAGGTGAAAGACAGGGAAGCATCTGGGCATCCTAGACTTTTTATTTTAAAAAAAGAATTGGGCCCTTTCGATTTATTTTGGCTCCCGCTCTCGTCAAGCCGGTACACTGTCGATCATCTCCACCACCGTGGCAATCCGTAAGAAAATAACAGCCCCCAGGACTGTCCGAGAGAAAGGATGACAAGAGATGGGAAATACTAATGTTCATATTAAATAAATAGAATAAATGAGAGGTAGAAGTTACGCCAGTAGGTCTCTTCTGTTGCGGTCAACACCTCGTCCCAAAATCCTTATCTTGGATCTTTTGCCACGGGAACAGGACGAAAACAAGTTGGTTGGGAAACGTGGAACATAAAACTCCCCGATCCAAGAAAAGACAAAAGTATGCTTCGAAACCTGCTGAGGGGTGCACTCCGGCTCTTGTGCCATGTGGCAATACCCAATCGTGCAGACAGCCTTCGTTTTTTTTTTTTTTTGGGCCTTTTCCAGAACACACGACGTGCGGTTCTGTCATGCTTTAGTATCACCACGAGAGAATTAAGATGATGACAGGCATGCCATTTATGCTGCGGTCGCTAAAGCACCGTTGGCATAAAATCACTTTGTTTGATACTCGGGTCCTTGAGCGGCTATTTGAAGTGTAAATGAGACAGATATGAAGGAAACGCCCCCCACGCATGGATCAGGCCAACATGCAAAAAGTCACGGCCATATATGTAAATCTTAGTTGCTTCTCAACGTTGTCAATGTGGCATAGTAGCCAATTCAATAAACCGAAGACAGGGCCATCCAAGTTAAGCACCTATGGGCACATATTATGAAACATTGACGACTGTTTTATTTTGACGGCGACTTGCATATATCTTTTTATAAGACTTCCTTTGATAACAGTCTGTACTTTTATTTTGTTTTTGGTTTTATTTTGTTCTGTTTGTTTAGTCATATTTTACTACTCTTACTCCGTATTATTTTTAAAGTGGAGGAACTTCAGTATGATCGTGTTCCGAGCGTTTTCCTTCGACTTCGTAGCACAATATTTCCAATACGGTACGATGAAATCAAACGATTGATCTGGTAGGCAGGAAAATGTTGGACAATACAACGACTACGCTTTGACTCTGGGGGTGGTGATGAGATGCGGCATGGCGAAACTTGGCCTCATCAACTGTATATCTTGCAATGGAACATCACCACACAAGACTGAATCTCTGGGGATCGTCGAGGGGACTAGTTCGGCGAACGGCCAGCAATCGGCTGCCAGTACAATTTCCATCTTGACAGCATCCATATGCCCCTGGCCCTTTGTAAATCCAGTACCTAGTCACCAAAACGCCATGACCATACTTTGTTCTCAAGATTTCGCAAATTGACCGCGATATTCGGGGCATTTGTTTGCTCTGCCGTCAGCACCCTTTGAGCACGTATTGGCAGGTAGTAAGCAGGTCGTTGGTAGAGTGCGGTTTGCTGTGGTCGAGGACGCGATTTAGGATATTTACAAAGTATTCCACATCATACATAATGCAGAATCTTGGAGACGCACAAAGGGACGCCATCATCATAAAGGACGAGAGAAAATTCTAGCACATTTAGTCCTGTCGTCAATGAGTTTGTTTCGGTTCGCCGAACGCGCAAGGACCTCGAGTTCGCTACTGCTTTGATGGTTATCCAAAACCAGGCTCGCTTTTTTTATTTACTGTCCTATCATTTCGGTCATCCCGGGTGACCGCATGAGACCAGCTCATTTCTCAAAACTCATGACGGCGTACCGGAACGTGCCATTGGCGTACCCGCGCCGCATGGCCCGGAAGGCCTGCAAAAAGGCAATACCGTCGCGGCCCTGGCTCAGCGCAAACGCCCACAGCGCCGGCTTCTGGACCAGTGCCCACGAGAGGTCCCTGTTGTCGTGTTAGAAGAAAGAGGGAATGCAGAATGCAAAACACGGTCAAATGGCCGGTGGAGGGGGGGGGGCCTGCGCATACCAAGTTTGTTTGACATCGTTGGAAATGTCCTTGGGCGGGGCCAGGACACGCAGCCCAGCCTCCGTGGCGAGCTGGACGTAGCCGGCCTGCGTGCACATGGGCGGCAGCAGCATGCCGTCCTCAATGGGCTTGATGTCGTTGTCAAACGCCGCCGTGTCGAGCCCCTCGGCCTTGAACCAGTCGGCGAGGACGAGCTTGCCGCCGGGCTTCAGGACGCGGTAGGCGTTACGAAAGAAGAGGGCCTTGTCCGGGAAATGGCTGAGGGCCTCGCTGATCCAGACCACGTCAAACCGATCAGCGTCGGCAGCAAAGTACGCGCCCATCTTTTCGGCGTCGAGCTCGAGGAACCGGACGTGGCCCTTGCCGACGGCAATGAAGCCGTCCACAGCAGCAGCATCAGCAGCGGTGGGAGCGGGAGCGGGCGTCGGGGCAGTACCCTCGGCCGCCAGCTGTTCGGCCAGTTTCGTGGCCAGCTCGACCTGCCGTGTCGAGATGGTGATGCCCGTGACGCGCGCGCCGAGGTCGGAGGCGAGGTAGCGCGATGTACCGCCGACACCGCACCCTACGTCCAGGACCGACAGCTCTTTGGCTGCACTGTCCGGCTTGTCCAGCCCGGAGATGGACAGCAACAGGCGGATCAAGTTGGTTTGGGCAGTCTCCTTGCTCTCCTTGGCTTTGGACTCGTCCGTGGGCCAGTAGCCATGGTGGATGTGCTCGCCCCACAGACTGACATAGTAGTCACTGGCCAGGTCATAGTGCAGCTTGATGCGGTCCTTGAGGGTCTGCATGGTGGTGTG